TGTGTGGTTTTATCTCTGGGCTTTCAATTCTGTTCCATTGATCTGTGGACCTGTCTTTGTACCAGTACCATGCTGTTTTGATCACTGTAGCTTTGTAGTATGTTTTGAAATCGGGGATTGTGATTCCGCTGGCTTTGTTTTTCTTGTTCAGGATTGCTTTAGCAATTCGCGGTCTTTTGTTGCCCCATATGAATTTTAGGATTCTTTGTTCAATTTCTGTGAAGAATGTTCTTGGGATTCTGATTGGGATAGCATTGAATCTGTAGATTGCTTTAGGTAGTATGGACATTTTAACTATGTTTATTCTTCCAATCCATGTGCATGGAATGTCTTTCCATCTCTTTATGTCGTCGTCAATTTCTTTCAAGAAAGTCTTATAGTTTTCATTGTATAGATCCTTCACTTCCTTGGTTAAGTTTATCCCAAGGTATTTTATTCTTTTCGTTGCAATAGTGAATGGGATTGCGTTCTTGAGTTCTTTTTCTGTTAGTTCATTGTTAGTGTATAGAAATGCTACTGATTTATGTATGTTGATTTTATACCCTGCAACTTTGCTGTAGTTGTTGATTATTTCTAATAGTTTTTCTATGGATTCTTTGGGGTTTTCTATATATAAGATCATGTCATCTGCAAACAGCGAGAGTTTTACTTCTTCATTACCTATTTGGATTCCTTTTATTTCTTTTTCCTGCCGAATTGCTCTGGCCAACACCTCCAGTACTATGTTGAATAGGAGTGGTGAAAGTGGGCACCCTTGTCTTGTTCCTGTCCTCAGAGGGATGGCTTTCAGTTTTTGTCCATTGAGTATGATGTTGGCTGTGGGTTTGTCATATATGGCCTTTATCATGTTGAGGTACTTTCCTTCTATACCCATCTTATTGAGGGTTTTTATCATAAATGGGTGTTGGATCTTGTCAAATGCTTTCTCTGCATCTATTGAGATGATCATGTGGTTTTTGTTTTTCATTTTGTTGATGTAGTGTATCACGTTGATTGACTTGCGGATGTTGAACCATCCCTGTGTCCCTGGTATAAATCCCACTTGATCATGGTGTATAATCTTTTTGATGTATTGCTGTATTCGGTTTGCCAGAATTTTGTTGAGTATTTTTGCATCTATGTTCATCAGTGATAGTGGCCTGTAGTTCTCCTTCTTTGTGTTGTCCTTGTCATGTTTGGGGATCAGAGTGATGTTGGCTTCATAGAATGTGTTAGGGAGTACTCCATCTTCCCCAATTTTCTGGAATAGTTTGAGAAGAATAGGTATTAAGTCTTCTTTGAATATTTGGTAGAATTCTCCAGAGAAGCCGTCTGGTCCTGGACTCTTATTTTTGAGGAGATTTTTGATTACCGTTTATATTTCCTTACTTGTGATTGGCCTATTCAGATTCTCCATTTCTTCGTGATTCAGTTTGGGGAGGTTGTAGGAGTCTAGGAAGTTGTCCATTTCTTCCAGGTTGTTCAATTTGTTGGCATATAGTTTTTCATAGTATTCTCTTATGATCCCTTGTATTTCATTGGTATCTGTTGTGATTTCTCCTCTCTCATTCCTAATTTTATTTATTTGAGATTTCTCTCTTCTTTTCTTGGTGAGTCTGGCTAAAGGTTTGACGATTTTGTTAATTTTTTCGAAGAACCAACTCTTTGTTTCATTGATCTTTTCTATTGTCTTTTTTGTTTCAATATCGTTTATTTCTGCTCTTATTTTTATTATTTCCCTCCTTCTACTGACTCTGGGCTTTGTTTGTTCTTCTTTTTCTAGTTCTGTTAGGTGTCGTTTGAGGTTGCTTATGTGAGCTTTTTCTTGTTTAGTGAGGTGAGCCTGTATTGCAATGAATTTCCCTCTTAGGACTGCTTTTGCTGCATCCCAAATGATTTGGTATGTCGTATTCTCATTTTCATTTATCTCCAGATAATATTTGATTTCTTCTTTAATTTCTTCAATGATCCATTGTTTGTTCAGAAGCGTGTTGTTTAGTCTCCACATTTTTGCACCTTTCTCTGCTTTTTTCTTGTAGTTGATTTCTAGTTTCATAGCATTATGATCAGAAAAGATGCTTGGTATTATTTCAACTCTCTTGTATTTATTGATGTTTGCTTTCTTTCCCAAAATATGGTCAATCCTTGAGAATGTTCCATGTGCACTTGAGAAGAGTGTGTAACCTGCTGTTTTTGGATGAAGTGTTCTATATATATCTATTAAGTCCATCTGGTCTAATTTTTCATTTAATTCTATTATTTCCTTGTTGATTTTCTGTCTAGATGTTCTGTCCATTGGTGTTAATGGTGTGTTGAGGTCCCCTACTATTATTGGATTGTTGTTGATGTCTTCTTTTAGTTCTGTTAAGAGTTGCTTTACAAATTTTGGTGCTCCTGTGTTGGGTGCATATATATTTATAAGTGTTATGTCTTCTTGGTGGAGAGTCCCTTTTATCATTATATACTGTCCCTCTTTGTCTTTCTTTATCTGTTTTGCTTTGAAGTCTACCTTGTCTGATATTAGTATAGCGACACCTGCTTTCTTTTGTTCTTTATTAGCTTGGAGTATTGTTCTGCATCCCTTCACTCTGAGTTTGTGTTTGTCTTTGGGGCTGAGGTGTGTTTCCTGGAGGCAGCATATTGTTGGGTCTTGTTCTTTGATCCATCCTGCCACTCTGTGTCTTTTGATTGGGGAGTTCAATCCATTTACATTTAGAGTGATTATTGAGATGTGGGGGCCTACCACTACCATTTTATGTCTTGTTTTCCAGTTTTCTTCAATTTCCTTTCTTTCTCGTCCCATGGTTTAATCTGTTCTGATGTAGAGCTGCTACTCTCTGTTGTTGTCCGTCTACTTATCTCCTCTGCTCTTGGTTTTGTAGCCCCTTTCCTGTTTTTGATTTTTTCAGGAATGAGGGTTTTCCTGAGGATTTCCTGAAGAGGAGGCTTTGTGGCAATGAACTCCCTTAATTTTTGTTTATCTTGGAAAGTTTTTATTTCTCCATCGTATTTGAAGGATATTTTCGCTGGGTAGAGAATTCTCGGCTGTAGATTTTTTTCCTTCAGATTTTTGAATGTATCATTCCACTCTCTTCTAGCCTGTAAAGTTTCTGCTGAGAAATCTGCTGATAGCCTGATGGGGGTTCCTTTGTAGGTTAGTTTCTTTTGCCTGCTGTCCTTAGTATTTTCTCCTTGTCGTTGACTTTTGCTAGCTTCACTACTATATGCCATGGGGTTGGTCTTCTTGCATTGATAAAGTTTGGAGATCTATTGGCTTCTGTCACCTGAAGATCCATCTCTCTCACCAGATTTGGGAAGTTCTCAACCATTATTTCTTTGAATAGGCTTTCTGCCCCTTTCTCCTTCCCTTCTCCCTCTGGTATACCTATAATCCTTACGTTGCATCTCCTAATTGTGTCTGATAATTCTCGGAGAGTTTCTTCATTTCTTTTTAGTCTTACTTCTCTCTCCTCCTCTGCCTGCAGCATTTCTATATTCCCATCTTCCAAATTGCTAATTCTCTCCTCCATATTATTGGCCCTACTGTTCAGTGCATCTAGATTTTTCTTAATCTCCTCTATTGTGTTCTTCATTTCCAGTATTTCTGTTTGGTTCTTCTTTATTGTATCAAACTCTTTTGTGACATAGCTCCTGAACTCGTTGAGTTGTCTATCTGAATTCTCTTTTAACTCACTGAGATTTTTAATGATGGCTGTTTGGAAGTCATCGTCATTTAGGTTATATATTTCATTTTCTTTGGGATTGTTGTCTGTGTATTTGTTATTTTCCTTCTGTTCTGGAGATTTAATGTATTTTTTCATATTGCTTGATGTTGTAGATTTGTGCCTCCACATAGAGATAGAGATTAGTTGCTCCTTCCACTTGTTTCTGCTGGTGTGGTGGGGGAGCAGCTGTTTATACTGCACCAACCAGGAACCCTGTCCGTAGTTGCTAACTGGGCCTGGGCCCCTCCTCGTAGTCACAGTGGTCCTTTGGATTCCCTCCTCTGCCATGGGAGCTGTCACGGGGGGGCTTCAGGCTGCTGGTGCCTACTGTTGCAGCCCACCTAGATGTGCTCCCTCCTTGGGGTCTGCAACAGTGTTATGGGCTTTTCCAGCAGCCAGGGGTAGGATCACTTATATTTGCCGCTCCGTCACTGTCGGCACCCACAAAATCTCACTTGTCCACTATGGGTCACAGCAGAGCTATTGGCATCTTCTACACTCTGTGGTTAGCTCACCTAGCTATGCTACTTTTGTCCCGGGGTTTTCCAGCCTTGTGGCTGCCGGATGGGTGCTCTCTACTAGTGCTGTGCAGAGGCTTTTGCTGAGGCTGCTGTGAGCCTGTAGGGTTTCCCCCTAGGCTACGGAGCCGGGTCACTGGAACTCTGCTCAGCCCCAGTCCTGTTCCCCAGGAACTCGGGGAGCCCTTTGCCCTGACTGGGGGATAGCCGGAGATCCTGATTTCAGTGGTAGCTGGTCAGCTGCTGCCCTGCCTGATATTCTCCTCTCCGGGATGCTCTCGGTGTTGTGAATGCTGGGTGTGGCCCCTCCGCTAATGGCAGACAGAGAGTTTTGTCTGCTGCCTGGGCGGAACTCTGGAGCTTCCCCTCCGGGGCGTGGAGCCAGCCTCTGGAGCTTCACCCAGCCCCAATCCTCTCTGAGATCTCCAGCAATCCCTTGCCCGGCCGTGCAGGCAGTGGCAGCCGGGGGACCGCCACGCCCTCTGTGATTCTCTCTGAGACCCTCCAGGCGCCATGGACACCGGGTGGGATCTCCCTGCCAATGGCGGGGCAAGACTCTCCCTGCAGGCTCAGGTGTGTAACTCTAGAGTTTCCCTCTGCGTTTAGGAGTAATTGCGGGGGATTTAGGTAGGGTTCTGGTCACCTGTTTCCACTGTCGCTCCTCTGGTGTGTGCTCACTTCTGCCCTAGGTGTGTGTTGATCTTCTGGGGGTGTCCGTTGGAAGAAAGCCTCTTGCAGGTACTAGGCTTTTTGGTTGGAGTCGGAGAGGTTTCACCTATCTCCACCTCCTCCCGGAGGGAAGTCCATCCACCTTCCGATGTATAGTTGTGTGGGTCTCTCAGACATCCTGAGATTCTATCTGGATATCCTTTGTTAAGTGATGAGTGTCCAAAAAATTGTAGACTTGAAGGGGGAGAGACAAAGAGGACTACTCATGGCGCCATCTTGGATCTTCCCTGGATAGTATACTTTTAAAGGGTGAATTTGGGGCCAGCGCTGGTGGCCTAGTGGTTAAGTTTGGTGGACTTGGCTTCAGGAACCCAGGTTCGGTTCCAGGTGCAGACCTATACCACTCGTCTGTCAGTGGCCATGTTGTGGTGGCAGCTCACCTACAGAAAAGAGGAAGACTTCAGAAAGGTAAAGAATTTTTATCTCCTTTTTACAGATGAGACAACTGAGATCCAGAGAGGTAAGATGGCTTGCACAAGATCAAATTAGTGAAGAAGTGGGTCTTGGCTCATAGCTCAATGCTGTTTCACTAAAAACTGACTCTTAGCAGATTCTAGCCGGGTCTCGGCATGTGGGCCTCTGCCTGCAGAACACAGGCAATTCACAGACCTGTCTCTCTGTTTTTTGTATCTTTTCAAAGAAATGCCACCTGAACCCAAGATCACGTAGATATATCTCATCTTGTAATAGTTTTCCCTTAACTCTTTACTCACTTAGGTATTTATTTTTGTCTCTGGTGTATTTAGCTATCACTATAATTTTTTTCTATGTGACAATTGACTTGTATCAAAAACATTTATTGAATAATTTGGATGTCATACCTTTTCACAAATTTTCATGTTAGCATTAATTTGTGTTTGAACTACTTCTTCCATTCATCTATTTGTCTTTTTCTGTGTCAATACACAATTCTTTTCATTTTATTGTGTTAGAATAAGTCTTGATATCTGGTAGGGCAATTTCCACAACCCTATTTTTATTTTTTAGAATTGTGTTGGTAATTATTTATGTCATTATTCAACTATATGTATTTTAGTATGTCTTTCAAATTCTGTAAAAGAATTCTATGATTTCATTGACATTGAATGGAATTTATAGATTTACTGTGGGAAAACTACACTTTGTCTATAAACATAGTATATATCAATTTATTCAATTCATCTTTTATGTTTTTCATTGTTTTATAATTTTCTACATTTTTTCCATGTTTCTTGTTAGATTTCTTCTTATACATCTTTCAAGTTTATTACTGTTATGGACAGTATTTTTTCCTATTGCATATTATTTATAAGTAGGGATAGTATTGGTTTTTGCAAATTTTAGGATGTTTAGAATTATGCTGAGTGGACCACTATTGGAGGTTATCTAAGTGAAATACTAAAGCCCAGCATGCTGGAGTGACTAAGAACATGAACACGGGCCAAATCACCTATGTTCAAATCTTAACTCGGCCACTAACTAGCTCTTGGGTCTTTGGCAAGTTATTAGTTACTTGACTGTATTGTATGCCTCAGTTCCTTTATCTATCTATAATGGGGCTCATAGGATTATTTTCTGGAGGAAGCAAATTAATATATGCAAAGCCCATAGAACATTGCCTTACACATAAATGTCACTTAAGTAATAGTTATTATAATAATCATTATTTTCATGGGTTGTCAAAGATTATAAATGCAAAATTATAAATTTTTGCTTCATTTTCTTTCGTCACCTTAGGAAATGTAAACTTTGTTTTCAATGTAATGATAGAGATGTTGGAGAAGTCAGAACATATAAATCTATTTTAAATGGTCATGGATGATGGAATATAAGCATTAAAAACATCATCTGAATATATTGAATAAATCCTTCAAAGACCATTGGAGTATTTAACTCCACAGAAATTATGCTGCCTATTGTTTGTATCCTCAATTAAATAAGATATAATCTGTTACATTAGATTTTTTCCCCTCTACATAATAATCCAATCAATGTTGTGTTATTTTTCCTTAAAATATCTCCTTAACGTTTTCCCTTCCTCACTACTTCCACTATCGCTAGGCTCTCATTATCTCTTGCAAGATTATAAGAGATTCTTATCTACCTGCCTCTAGTCTCTTTGTTTCCCCTAAATTTAGACCTATAACCGTACTTTTAACTCATGCAATCAAGATTATACTCATCATTTCTCATAATTCCAGTTATACTGTTATTGCTATGTACCTAAATTATAGATTTGGTCAAGTCACTGACCAGATGAGGAAAGCTTTGATGAGGTTACATTTCCTCCAGCCAAAATCCAAACTTCTTGGTGCCATCCTACTTGTATAGTCTTATATCATGACCTTCCATACCTCTTACTGCTCAACTCTATTTGCAGCTTTCGTAAGAGTCCTTGAAATTTCACATATCCATGTCTTTGACTGTCACATTATATCTGGGATGACTCTTCTCTCACTCTTTCAACACCTTTCAGTTGCACTTTACCACAAAAACTGCTCAACTAGGATAATTTATCTTTTATGATTTAGTTTATATATAATTTCCTGTCAACTTTTCCCTTCCCTTGTCACAATTATTTGGTTCTTTCTCTGTATTCGGTAAAATTCCTTATATTGTCTATATATTGAATAAATATGTATAGGTAATTTTATGATAGAAACCTAGAATCACCAATCACTATATAGGCTAATTATTTCAGATTAATATTTTATAAATATTTAATAACATTGTATTAATATTTTAATCATTTACATATGGTATATATGTCCAGCATAGAATAATTAACATGGGACCTTTTCCAAAGTATGTGATTATTGAACAGGTATATATTACTGAGTCTACACCTAAAGCCAGAGTTTTATTTCATGACATAGATAAAAATAGAATATAATCTTATCAAAATAGAAAAATTATCTGATATTTTGTCTTTTGGGGGCTGCTAAAACTGTTGTCCATTATCACTATTATTAGTCTTACTCTGATTGTTCAAGTTTGTGCTAAAACTCTTTTTGAGATAGCGATATGTTTGGAACATTTTGAAAATATAATTATTTCTGAGCTGCAAAATTTCAAGGTGTATTTTCTGAATTAATACCTCTTTTCATATTCCTATGTTTCAGTTTCCTCAATATTGCTAAAGTGTAGGGCCATGTCTACTAGCTACCTGCTGAATTTGCTCAGCCATCTGAGCAATACACAGTTGATTCACGTGCCCTTTTACTTTGGAGATACACCCTGTAAAAATTGAACAGAAAAAAAAATGAACAGACCTGACATTTTGGTTCCAAGTTTGATTTACTGTGATAAGTCTAGAACCAACTGACTCTAATTCTGGTAATAGGGTTAGTGTAGCCCCTGAGAACTCATCATTAGGATATGACTGCAGTGAATCAGGTTTCCCAATCAGAGCTTCTATGTCATGTGCTCTCACTGAATGGACAATGCTAAACACATCCCTTGTACTAAAACACCCTTGTTACAAGAAAGGAGAGATTTCTTTTTGAGTTAAAAAAATCTAAAAGTTGTTATAGTGAACAAGCAGGAAAAATTACAGGCGTCATTATCTTGCAGATCATTCCAGCTTGAATTATTGCCTTTCCTTCATAAATAGCTCTTATTTTAAAAAATTTTCTGTAATTTCTTCAAAAAATTTAAACGTCTCGTAAATATTACCTTGACTAGATTAAGAGCTCTAAGTTTCTTTTTCCTTGGGCTATATCTATTTCACTGTTTAAATTCTTTTTAAGATAGCATATTTATTGGTGTTTGAGAAGGTCAATACAAAAATATTCCTTTATTCTTCAATAAGTTCTTAACAAACTGATAGATGAACAAAAGAGACAGATAGGTGGATGGTGGGGGAAGTCAGTTTCATTGCTTTAGAAATGTTGAAGAACTGGCTTACATGTGTGACCAAAACGGGCTCCTTAACGCTGAACCACGTAAATAGACAGACTAATCCAGGGCACGGCTAGATGCTTCCATCCAAGGCACGGCTAGATGCTTCCCAGGCCTCCCAGGCAGGAGGAAAGCCTCTTCTGCTGAACATTTCCTGTAGCTTGGAGCATACCAGAGAAAGTGCTCTCCATGGGCGGGCAGATACTCAAGAGATAAAAGGAGGATACAGGTTAAGCTTGGCATTCTCGGAGTCCATTCCCAAATTTACCCAAGTGAAAATGCACTTGGAAGGATTGAATTGCAGGGTGGAGAAATGACAAGAGAGTTACACTAATTGATGTTCCTCCAAGCTGAAGTGTAAAGTCAGGAGAAAGGAGGTTCACTCCAAAAGTATTTATTTCATTCAATTAGTAATGTGTAGTGCAGTAAAACCTGTTGAATGAGACAGGCCAAATTTTACTGCCCAGGCTGTTTTAGATGGGCTTTGGCTCCTGGTCCTTGCCTTCGAAACATGGCATCCTCAGGGCTGGCCATCAAAACAAAAATGGACTCACCAATCTAACCGTTCCTTATAACTAGCAGGTCTCTGCAGCAATTTTGTCTCAAATTCTACCTTAGTAATAATTTGGTCAAATATCATTTTCTTGGTAACATTGGAGAATGATATCATTAGTTTTATGCATTTAAATGGGTCACCAAAGAATGATATTTGGAACATTGTTCTACTGAACTCTTGGTCCAAGAGTTTCAATGTCTAAGGAATTTGAGTTTTACCTGAACAACTTATGATTTGTGAAAATTAAGGAGAAGGTCATCTAATACCTGTATTCAGCTCTTATTAAATTGATTTCATTCAGATCTCATACTTTCCTCAGTAGCTACGCTCTCTGAGTTTCCTTTCACGTCTCTTGATAGATAGATAGATATTCAAGTCGTGTGTAGATATAGTTTATATCCTTTCAGGATGTTTTTCGAAGGGCTCAAAAGGGTAACAATGTTGCTACGTAGCCTATAATCTGCGTCTTTTATTATTTCTCAAGAAGAAAAGAAAAAAACAAAGAAAAGAAAAGAAAAGCTCCCTTCCTAGTATAGCTGACTTTTCAGACAAATGTGGATTAAGAGGGGGTAAAAAGTGCAGCGTGAGTACATTATCTGCATAAAATCTACTCCAAATGCCTGTCCTTTCAATGGCGTGTTGTGCTGTGGCATTGTACACCTGAGCACATCTTTCTCTGTGTATTTTTTGGTGCCAACTCACTGGGGAGATGCCACTGTGAAAATAATCACTGATACAACATAACACCCTTGAACATTGTTTAGGTGGGAGAGATTTTGAGCTCATGAGGGTAGGGGAATAAAGGCACTATAAAAGGCGTAGGTTGGACAATCTTTTCAAAGGGAAGAGATATAATTTGATTGACTCTCCTGCTTGCTGGGCTTACCATTGGGAAATATGCTGAAAATTCCATACCTCCAGATGTTGAAAAATGAGATGTTTGCTTTTATAGTGTAGATTTCAAACTTGGTTTCAAATTTGCTGCATTTCTGTTTGCCTTACTATTGTTTCAATGTGATACACAGAACTTTGAAAGCGATAGGTATTAAATTTTCTGTGGAGGCTGAGATTCAGCCTGGTCTTAAGACAGTGGAGTTTTTCAAAGTACTCTCCTTCTCTTAGAAAGT